CTTGCCATACCCTTCAATCGCGCCCTGCTCCATTCCGATCTCCTTCCCTCAATCGCTCCAGCTGATTTACTCTTTCCAAACCTAACCCCTGCCTGATCTAGATAAAGAGGCTCTCTCCTTCCCGTCTCATCCCTCCCTTGTGCCAACCATGGAAGAGAGGAGGGAGAGCACAAGGAGCGCGCCGGCGATGCGCCGATGCTCGCTGGTTGAGGCATGGTCGGCGTGTGAGTCAAGAGGATCCCTGCATCTGTGGTGGTAGGCGATCCAAGGAAGAGTAGTCGAACATGAAAGCGATGGGAGGGACAACACCCTGCTGCCGGGCTCGTCCGCCTCTTCGTGGCCGACGACCGCGTTGGATGTGGCCGAGGGCGGCGATGATGGAGGGAGCCACTGGCGCTGGCCAGGCTCCTGACCGAGTCGCTGCTCCTCAGTGCCAGCCCTTTCCGCCGCGCCGGATCGCTCGTCATCTTGGGGACCCCGAAGGGATGCCGCCGGTGTGGGAGGCGCCCACGACAGTGCGGGATGGGGACCGAGCGGCGGGGGACGTTACGGGTTCCGTTCTAGGGCTAGGTCGGGAAGTCTATCGTGTTTCTGTCGGAAAATCTTATGATCAATGGGTTTACTAAATTAATTTTGGGTCTATATTAAGGGGCACCGTCTATTCTTGTCATTCGAATTTGCATTCTTGCATCAGAAGTTCAAGAGAACTGTCATGAATAGCACAATGCTTTTCAGTTTGTAGACTGATAACTGTAATAATATAACTAGAGAGCATTTCCTATCAGATAAATAAACTGAACATCACATCTTTTGATTTCTGTTTGGCCTCCTGGGAACGTAGACTAATTTAACACGTCATCTTTCGGTTTATGGTAATCAATCACAATTAATCCACGTATGGTAAGGCTATAAACTTAGAAATCTCAAATATGATAATTATAGTAATAAATCAATCCATGTATGGTAAGGCTATAACTAAGGAAATTTCGAATATGGTAATTATCACCAGAATCAAAGCTTTCCAAAAAAGTTCTTCTTGCCATACCCTTCAATCGCGCCCTGCTCCATTCCGATCTCCTTCCCTCAATCGCTCCAGCTGATTTACTCTTTCCAAACCTAACCCCTGCCTGATCTAGATAAAGAGGCTCTCTCCTGCCCGTCTCATCCCTCCCTTGTGCCAACCATGGAAGAGAGGAGGGAGAGCACAAAGGAGCGCGCCAGCGATGCGCCGATGCTCGCTGGTTGAGGCATGGTCGGCGTGTGAGTCAAGAGGATCCCTGCATCTGTGGTGGTAGGCGATCCAAGGAAGAGTAGTCGAACATGAAAGCGATGGGAGGGACAACACCCTGCTGCCGGGCTCGTCCGCCTCTTCGTGGCCGACGACCGCGTTGGATGTGGCCGAGGGCGGCGATGATGGAGGGAGCCGCTGGCGCTGGCCAGGCTCCCGACCGAGTCGCTGCTCCTCAGTGCCAGCCCTTTCCGCCGCGCCGGATCGCTCGTCATCTTGGGGACCCCGAAGGGATGCCGCCGGTGTGGGAGGCGCCCACGACAGTGCGGGCTGGGGACCGAGCGGCGGGGGACGTTACGGGTTCCGTTCTAGGGCTAGGTCGGGAAGTCTATCGTGTTTCTGTCGGAAAATCTTGTGATCAATGGTTTTACTAAATTAATTTTGGGTCTATATTAAGGGGCACCGTCTATTCTTGTCATTCGAATTTGCATTCTTGCATCAGAAGTTCAAGAGAACTGTCATAAATAGCACAATGCCTTTCAGTTTGTAGACTGATAACTGTAATAATATAACTAGAGAGCATTTCCTATCAGATAAATAAATTGAACATCACATCTTTTGATTTCTGTTTGGCCTCCTGGGAACGTAGACTAATTTAACACGTCATTTTTCGGTTTATTGTTCAAAATTGTTTCACTTCACATGATCGTGAACATACATGATGTGTATGTATTTTTTAATTTTGTGTCTGGTGACCTCAATTTTTATGTCTTCTACAGGTGAGTTGCTAACAAAATTCTAAATGTACATGCTCCAGGTAAATTTCTGGACATATATATTATATCTATATGTCCTTTCTACGAGGACATAAAATGCATCCCTATTTTCTATCTACCATTTTGTAACCCTTTGTAGAATGGTCTGGGGAGGTTCGCAACATTGTCTACTCATCTGATCGGAAATCTGTATATGTTGTCGATCGTGTGACTCTATGGAACTGATGGGGAGGTACCCTTCTTTGCCTGGGAGTTATATTTGGTTTAGTTCGCTGAATCTGGTTTGGGTTTGCACTAATCTTGCGTACTAAGTTTTTAGTGTATAATCTGTTTGTAGGTCCCACTATTTGATTAGTGGACGCAACTGATGGGGGCATGGAGATGATGACAAGGCATCACACTGTGGTGGTGGCGAGGGGGCCATCGATGAAGGCGACGATGACAGGGGCTGCCTACAAAAGCGGTGCATGGGTGGGGGAGGTGAAGTGGCGAGGGCTGGGAAGGTGGAGAACGACAATTGGGGGAGATGGAGTGGTGGCAAAATTGGACGAGCTCACCTCCGGAGTGTGTGGGCAAGATTTCCTTTTCGGGTCGGCCGGCTTTTTTTTAAAGCATGTGCATGCATGAGTTGGGGCTTATTTCCAGCGGTGAACATGCATGGGTAAAACCGTTTTCTTTTGCGAAAGGGGAGGGGAGACAAAAAACGGAGGTGGGAGAAATAGCATGCGAAGTACTCGGACATCCATGATGGTGCAAGTGTCGCTTTTTTCGGGAAACTTACTAAGGACATAGAGTTCCAGCTGTTTATAAGGAATGTATTTGGCCCTTCTTAGAAGGGAAACTAGCTTGCAAACTTTATGGTCCAACTATCATTGAAATACCAACTGATATGTTATGAAATCTTCAACTTATATTCTTTAGGAACTTCATTTAAGTTGTACTGACCTCATGAGATTCCAATCTATGCTTCATAGTTTATACTCCTCACTATCATAAATTCATAGACTCAAAAGTTTGCTGTATATGTTTATTACTCGAGCATTGCAATACACTGCACTCAAATGATTTTGTCCACAGAAAATTTGAAGCTCCATGATTCGGCAAGAGGATTTGTGCAAGAAATCATGTACATCTTAAAGTTTTGCATCTCAAATTTGGTACCTGTGTTGAACAGGAGGAAGCCTAGAATTCGCTTCACAGACGGAACTCGTCAATATAGAAGAGTAACACCTAGATAGAATCAAATCTGGTCAGAGAAGCCAATTGTGCCTTCTTCCCGAGTGCCAAATGTAGATGACTAATGCTGATGACACCACTCGCTTCCTTGTTTTTAAATATCACATGTGCAACACAATGATGCAAAGCGAATTTCATGGAGGGGGGGATAAGACGTATTTGTGTGGTTGAAGGAGCACATGTAAGTACATATTTTGGTGAGGGGGAAATTGAAATGCATGCTTGGAGAAACATAGTCATAAGCATGTGATGTACAAACTCCATATAATGATATTATGATATGTGTTTTCATAGATAATTTTATTTTTCAGGGCAACGCACGGTCATTCAACTAGATTTAGCTTCCTTAGATTAGGAATAGATCTAGAAGAAGGTGACGTGGTAGGGTTTTTTTTGTACCGTCCGAGACAACGAAACAATGACATGGAAGCTACATGCAAAATTAAGGGGCAATAGATTGAGAGGGTGAATGATGTATGGACAGAGAAGGTGATGAACGGCAAGTTTAATGGGAAAGGGCGGCTAGAGGGGTGTGTCATGTTTGTAAGAATAAAGAGAAGAATATGCTTGCATTTGTGTTGTGGTTAAACATTGCGTGCAATATGCTCGTTTCTGGGAAGGAAAATGAGCATTGTTTACACAATTTCATTTGTTGGCCCGTGGCAACGCACGGGCATTCTACTAGTTGACCATAAGATTCGGATGCCTGGTGGCTGCTATCGTTTCATTTCCTTCCGTGTATAACGTGCCACCAATCCACGAAGACATCTTGTGCATCAGGAGATCGATCCGTCCGTCAGATCCAGCAAAGCACCTTGTTTTTATAACCAAAACCCGTAGAACAATTGTTCTACGGTATTTTCTATTAATATAACCGATGTTTACAAATTATACAAAATCAGAAAGCAAAAGAGTTTATCCTATTCCAGCCTTTTCCAACATGTGGACATATTTCTATTCTCAAAACTTCTTAAGGCGGGCATCATTCTAGACGATGCTTAATCCACTTTTGCAAGGTGCTTAGATGCTTACACCTATGAGCCACAAGACTCAGATCTTCTTTTAGTCTGAACTTGCAGCATCTAATACTGTGTGCTTCGTTTCTGGATGCGATAATATCTTTAAATGTCCCAATGCCCCCAGTAGCTCCAAACCATCCCCCGATACGAATTTCGGGCCAAGCCTGTAAGACCAACCAATTGATCACAAGATTCGGATGCCTGGCGGCTGCTATCGTCGCATTTCCTTCCTTCCGTGCATAACGCATTACCTTCTTTCTTTCGTCCCATTTTCTACGGCAATAATGCAGGGCGTCACCGTCGAGCGAATTCATCATCAGAAAAAAAGAAAGAAAAAAACAGCCCGTCCCTCTCTCGCGTTGTATGTTTACGGGCGTGCAGCACGTTGTGGGCCTGCATCTTGTACCGGCCCCCAATCTGTGAAGGCTGACCTGGCAGTGTTCCTCGTGGGCTGGTGGCCTTGCGACCCTAGCTAGCTAGTTTAACCCACTCCTGCTGCTGCTGCTGGTAGTGGTACTGGCAACTTGTTTTTTTTTTGTAGTAATATAAATATTTGGTGTGCTGTATCCTTCCTGCTCCATAAAGAGGAGGCCACCGTGCGCTGTACGTTCGTGCACCATAAACATAAACAGGAGCCGCGCTTCAGCGGCAGCAACCAAGCGAGCGAGCAGAGGCAAAAACCCATCTCTGTCCTGTGCGGCATTGCACCGCCCCGGCCGCTTCCTCTGCTCGCCGAGTGAGATGGGCAAAGATGGCGGCGGCGGCGACGGGCTGGAGGTGCCGCTGCTGAAGCGGACGTACTACCACGGCAACTGCCCCGGGTGCAGGCTGGAGAAGAGGAACGAGACGCGGAGGGGCGTGCCCTACACAGAGTTCGCCTGCATGTGGCTCGTCACCGTCTGCTCCAGTGCGTGCTCCCGTTCTCTACTCGCTGCATCCCCTCCCTTAATCATCTCTCCTCTCCTCTCCTCTCCAGTGGAATTACTGTTTAGTACTAATCAACTGCTGCTCTTGTTTTTCTCTCGTGGAGTGGTATGCAGCAGGAAGCTACAGATCTTATTCTCCGTCTGTTTCCTCCCTTTTAAACCTTTTTCTTTTACTAGATTAGATCATCCCCCCTTTTAGACTTTGATTTGATTGGTGCAAACCATTTTTTTTGCTACCTATCCCTCGTCGTCTTTTTTCCACCGTCCGTGTTACTATCATCAACAATCTGCTAATGTCATGTCGGTTAATCCTGGCGTTCCTCGTTGTTGATTGGCCCTGCGCAGGAAGTCGAGACTGATATTTTTGCCTCAAGGCTCAATCATGCAGCTTTGCTTTTCTACACTTGTACTTGCACTTTGTTATTGTCCAAAGCGATGGGACAGCCAATCTTGCCTTTGTTAGAGTAGGTTTAGCTGCATCGATGTTCCTTGAGTACTGTTTCTCGGATGTCTGTATCTTCCCGTCAGCCCTCTTGTAGCAGTACAAGTTTGGGTGCGGCATGCATCGTCGTAATCTCGACCAAACTCTGCCCGGAACGGGTTCATGTGCAATTAATTACCACTTACGTCACATGCCACTTGCTATTTTAAGTAGTACTACTACTACCTCCGTCCCGGTGTATAAGTCATTCGCGTAGTTCTAGGTCGATAATTTAACTATCTAAATATGTATTATATGTGACAAAAAATATATATTTACAAACTACATCCGTGTGGAAATCTAGTGGTATACTTTTCATGACATATAACACATATTTAATTCCTCAAATCGATGACCTAGAACTACGCGAATGACTTATACACCCGGACGGAGGGAGTAGTATTTTCCACCTCTAAACATCTTCCCTTGGTCATGATTAATTCCCTTTCGGGTCGCTTAAAATACTCCCTTCCGTCCTCACAACCTCTTGCTACGTGTCCTTGGCCATCACTCGCACAGTACCAACCTCTGCCCCCCGAAACACAGCGGATGCAAATCAGAGAAGTTGAGGAAACCTGTGGATCTTCGCAGATCCTCCAGAAAAAGGAAAAGAAAAGGAGGATCACCCTCGGCTTTGCCCAGTTTGGTTGATACTTTTTACTACACATCAACCGGTGGGAAAGTAGCCATTGCACGTAAACATGGAGATCAATTCCTCAAAAAAAATTCCTCAAAATACTACTCCTTCTTATTCAATGAAAATGGCAAATCTTTTGCCTTGTTTCAAAAAAAAAAAATTCCTAAAAAAAAAACGTAGACACGGGGATCTATGATCAATTTGCCGGCCAAAGACTGCACGCACAATACATGGACATGCACACCAACAACGGGCTGCCAACTACGTAGTCGTCTGTACGATGCATCTCACCAAAGATTCCATCATGTCAAACTTGGTTACCTCTTTTCCTTCATGGACAGAGATCGCTCAGACAGGTTCTCTATCATACTACCAGCCTATGTCCATCCAAATGCAATATTCGTGCCAAGTCCGGTAGCTTTTCCATTTGTTTAATTGAGAGAAGAGTGCTCATATTACTAAACACTAACCGCATTTGAAACTTTATTAGACTATAATAGTTTCCGATACTTTTTGCTTCTACCTTATGAGCTGTCTACTCATTACTAATTATGAATTGATATAATTTATTCCTTCTTCCTGTTGCAGCCTTGCCGATTCAATCCTTGTTTCCCTTCTTGTATTTTATGGTGAGCAACGCTACGAAGAGTATATATCTCTGGTACAAGCTCTGTATAAGACTATGAAAATGTAGTTGAAACATTGCAGTCAGATGCGTCTTTGAGAAAGAAAGAAGAAAAGAATCATCCTTACCCCCATTTTTGGCTCTCACTATTCCAAATTATTCACTTGTCAACATTATTTCTTTTCTCTAGAGGATGTTTAAATAGATTTAGGCAAATAAGATGCCCCTTGTTTACAAGACGCACTACAAAACAATGTTACTAGTGACCAAAGTCGAAAAGAAGGGACAAAAATAAACATTGTTGGGTTTTTTCTACATAATAAGTCATGTGTAATTCTTCTAATGCTTTGTTTGCTATGCTTCGAGAGTTCACACAGGGAACTAAAGTCTTGCCAAGTAGTAGCCTAGAATGAATGATTGTTGTAATGTTGTGACTTGTGACAATTTTTGTACAAAATATGAGTGACACTTATGAGACTTTATGTTTAAAATGCCATCTAATGATCACGGTGAAAATTAAATTGTATATTTTTTTGGAAAATAACTAGGCTATTTTAAGTTCGGAAACATGATTTTAATTCACTATTGTTTGATAAGTAGTTTGTCATTGCTCAGTGAAAAATATTATCCTAAGTTTTAATAAATTATCTTCATTGGACGTTCGTTTGCAGATAAGGGACCTGCACATTGCTAAGCAAGTAGAAGATATAGGATTTTATGCTGGTTTTGTTGGTGAGTTTTCCTGAAGATATTGTTTTATGTCAAACTTCTGAAGCATTTAAGCATAGTTGTGTAAGGACACTTTGATGTGAGGGGATATACATCAACTTTAAGTATCGTGATAACTTATGGTGCCTTAATTTGCTATCAATGAAGGTGCTTCATATATGCTTGGTAGAGCACTCACCTCTACATTATGGGGAATTGTGGCCGATAAGCATGGGAGGAAACCTGTTCTCGTAGTTACCCTTATTGCAGTGTAAGGATAATATTTTTGACGAAGCATAGTCTTTTCTACTCGCCAAGGAGATTTTGTTTGGCTATAATTTTACAAATGCACCCAGAATTTAAGCATGTTTCCTCATATATTTCAGAATTACCTTGAATACACTATTTGGACTCAGCTCTAGTTATTGGATGGCATTAACCACAAGAGGTTTGCTTGGGTTGTTGTCTGGTATGTTGGGGCCAATTAAGGTACCAAAACATTCATGAGTATAATCATCTTTTTTGGTACTACAATCTTTCATCATGTACTTGTACTTTGTTTACTAACTGATCATGTACTCACATTCATATTCTTAAGTTTATTCAACAATTGCTCTTACGTTATCCACTGGACTTAATTTATGTCATTATTTTGTGAGAGTGTGACACTTGACAAATACGGTTGATGTGTAATGCACATGAATCTTTAGATTGTTGGCCTATTTTGAATTAATATTGTTATGTTTTAATGAACATGGTCTTTGTTACTTCCCAAGTTGAAGTAGATAAATTCTAGCCAACCAGTTGTATTCACATGGTTGACCCGTACACTATCCTGTCTCAAAATAGTATACATATTTCACTAGCGTGATTGTAGTGTTTAATACAACATTAATATAAATGCTTCACTACATTAACATTTGATTGACTTCTTTTTGCGCATGTTCAGGCTTATGCTACAGAAGTATGCCGGAAAGAATATAGTCACTTGGCATTATCACTTGTAAGATTCTCAAGTTATTACAATATTTTTATGTTACTATTACCCAACCCCCAACTTTATTGGGCCAAAAATAATGCTCACCCATTTCTATTGATGGGTAACCATTCAGATTTCTTCCTCACGTGCCATAGGCCTCATTGTTGGTCCAGCCATTGGTGGTTATCTTGCACAGGTAATAGTTTGTTTAATATTCACACACAAAACCAATCTCCAAATCTTCTTCTTCTTATTGTGCACTCTAACTTCCCATTTCTCAAATTATAGATGCTACCAGTAAATTGGTTGTCCCTGTTTTCCTGATCCTTTTATATAACTCATTTACTTGCTTTGTGGGTAATTAGGTTCTACATCCAGTTTGATACACGTCAATGTTTACACACCATGACAAAAATATGCCAAGTTCCATATCTGTAATTTTTTTTGTTAATGAACATGAATGAATACCCATTGTATTAGATATGCTAAGTGTAAGCACACACCATCATAGTTACCTCTCGTCCCATATGGTTTGTGATTAGGGCCAAGTGAATATTTTTCATTTAGTTTAAAAGTGGATTAATTTATAACCCAAATTCTAAGAAAACCAGTGCACATATAACAATAG